AAGAACAGACCCAGGCGGCTGGCTTCGGTGCAAGAGGTGGATTTATTTACACTGGTGAAACAGGGGTGCAACACAATATACAATAAACAAGAGTGAATGACTGAAAGGAATATCACCGGGTGATGACCAGCATTAGTGAAGGGGTTATTGTCCGTGGAGTGATGAGGTTGGGCTGCAAGGGAAGGCGACACTCCTGAGCTGGTCAAGGTGGTGATCCGGTTGACTGAGGAGTAACAGAGAGTGGTATGAATGAGGAGACTGTGCATCGACCTGTGAAAGAGGTTGGTGGAGCTGAGGGAGCCAAGGTCCAGAGGAGAGGTCCAGGTGATACAACAGGAGACGCTAGGACTTAAGAACATATGTGGAAACGGGAGACAAAAGGTATAATACGTCATGAAACGAAGGCTAACAACATAGAAAGAACCAGCAAGGGAGTGAAGGTAAAGCCGGGTATAAATAGGGAGTGACAAAGGAGGCGCAGCTGAAGAGTGTCAGAAAATCAGGACAGGTGTGTTAATCAAGAGAGTCAGTGAGAAGGAGCAGACTAGAGCGAGAAAGAGAGAAGAGAGGAAGGTGCAGCCGGGCAAACCTGACAATATTACTGTTGAAGGAGTTGACTTGGCTGGAGACTATTATAACTGTTGCAGAGAAGGTCACTATTATCTAGGAGGTTATGGCTGTGGCTGCAATAGAAGTCTTCCAGACATACAGCACACAGTTTTAACTCTCCAGCTGTGAAAACGCTCCTTCACCCAGCTCTCCAATGTGTAAAACCCACAGGGAAGCATTTTAATTTTTGTCTGTGATTGTGCACCAATTTTACTGTCCTCTTGCAACTTAAGGACAGAGACAGAGAAGAGGAACACACACACACACATTGTGAAAATATGAATCTGTATGTAAATGATGTGGTTTTATTGTTTCCAAAGTTATATTTCAAGAAAAGATCAAACTTGCAACACACTGAGTTGTGAGTTAATATCCTTGAGAAATGGACAACAGATGGTCTTTTGTAAAGTGATGCTTGTCCCCTATCTGCGCTTCTTTGGCAGCTGTTTGCAGATGTACTTTTTCCCCCTAAACCTGATTAAAAGTCCTATATACGAGTATCCATTAAAACAAATCACAGTTTCCTTAAGGGCAACAACTGGGAGTGTTACCTCAGTAAATTACACCAATGATGATACACCTTTGATGACACACATCTAAAATAGACTGAAACTGTTCAGGATTTCTTTTGCGAGACCTCATAAAGAATGCTGTGACTTGTATTGTGGTGTATCTTTATTGCATTTATCTATCCATTCATCCATCTTCGTCCGCTTTATCCAAGACTGGGTCATGAGGGCAGCAGCCCGAGCAGAGCCTCCCAGACTTCCCTCTCCCCACACACCTCCTCTAGCTCCTCAGGAGGAACCCCAAGGCATTCCCAGGCCAGCCGGGAGACATAGTCTATCCAACATGTCCCGGGTCTGCCCCGAGGTCTTCTCCCGGAGGGACATGCCCAGAATACCTCCCCAGGGAGGCATCCTAAACAGGTGCCCCAGCCAACTCAACTGGTTCCGCTCAATGTGGAGGGCCAGCGGCTCTACTTTGAGCTCCTCCCGCTTGTATCCTCGATCTCATCCTTTCGTCATGATCCAAAGTTCACGGCAATAGGTGAGGGTAGGAACATAGATAGACCAGTAAAGTGATAGCTTTCACCTTATGACTCAGCTCCTTCTTCACCACAACGGACCAGTACAGAGAACGCATTACTGCGGATGCCGCACCAATCCGTCTGTCGAACCTGCCGCTTCATTTTTCCCTCACTCATGAACAAGACCCGAGGTACTTAAACTCTTCCACTTGAGGGAGCAACTCGCCCCCAACCTGGAGAGGGATAATCCACCTTTTTCCAATTGAGAACCATGGCTAAGGGTACGTTTACACGGAAACGCTCTTGACTGTAAACGCATAGTTTTGTTAAAACGATTGCTGTGTAGACGGGAAGTATTTGCGTTGACATGAAAACAGTGAAAACGAATAAAACGATGTCTGAGCATGCGCATTACCCTTGAAGACAATGGCGTCATTAGCCAATATCTACTTTCCTTGCTGAGGAGTTGGCAACACTGCGTGAACACTACGAAGTTACCAACATTATTTTGTTGGTCGCAGCAGTAGTAAAGGAGCAGTTGTACTAATGCTAATAAGTTCATTAGCATCTGTGTGTAGCATGAAAGCATATAGTTCGCCATTGTTTATGTCAATGTGACACTAGCAGTAGCTGACGCGGGCCGATGGCATCATCGTTTCATAAACATATGCGGATTATAACGTTGACACGAAAACGTTTTAGCTGGCGTTTTGAAACTCTCCATTTTGGGGCCCGTTTTAAAAAGTCTCCATTTTCGCTACCCGGCTAACCTGTTTCCGTCTAAACGGAAGGCCAAAATGCATACTAAAGTAGGCGTTTACAGTTAAGAGCGTTTCCGTGTAAACGTACCCTTAGAGGTGCTAATTCTTATCCCTGTTGCTTCACACTTGGCTGCAAACCCCTCTAGTGCACACTGTAGGTCTTGAACTGATGAAGCCAACAGAACCACATCGTCTGCAAAAAAGCAGAGGTGAGATTCTGCAGCAACCAAAACAGACATCTTTGTTAAATTAAGAAAATGAGAAAACAAACAAAAAAACTAACTTAAATAAAGCAATCTGTTTGGTGAAATTTCAGATTAATACTAGCACTACTTGTTTAAACCCACTACTGTGCATGAGAGTGGGATAAAAATTTATAAATAACTTGTCTATATATATTGTTAATGTCTGATAAAGAGATATCTACCTTTCCTACAGTGTCTTCCTTCTATTGGAGTATAAAAAGCAGCTTTAAACAGGACATGATTAACATACAACAGCTTCCAATACCTAACACATGTATTTTAATAGAGACTCATGAAAGAGGTCAGTGGTTAGCTCTCAAGTGTAGAGTATATGTTCCACTAAATCAGTTTTTGAGACCTTTGAAAAAACTAAATTTAAAGCCAGTCTATCACAGTGTGACAGGACCCAGGCAAGTATGAAGAAAAAGGTGATTGTCTTCCCTCAGCGTTGGAATGCAGGCTATTTGTTCTACGATTTGAACGAAAGTGCTTTCATATGTGTGCTAGGCAACAATCACACAAATTGAAGCAGTGAAAATGTTCTTTATTATGGCTCTTCAGTGTGAAGGGACAATTTATCTTTCATGCCATGTGACCTCTGTGGATGGTGAAGAGTTTATTTGTTCAGGTCTGGTTTTGGTTCATGTTCAGGGAATAATCACATTTATCTTCCACTGACTTATTTATGAGGATTCTAAATGCGGTTTTCCCATTTACTCCTTTTCTTTTGGGTGTTTAAGGAAAAACGTTTAGGCATAGCATGTACTATTTAAATGTGGTTTTATAAGAAGTTGCTAAAAGTAGCAGAGTGTGTATTTCATTTGTGTGTCATCTTTACCACGTCAAATGTAATTTGCTGCTAAACCATAGACTGTATAATGAAGATGGAAGACATCGCAGCTCCCAGAAGTAAAGTGACCACAAGTCGATCACCCCTTGGTGGCTGGTCATAAACATTTCCCCTTGCATATTAGCGGACGGGACATGAGCCAAAATCAAATAAAATTTTTACAAAGGTAATTTCCCTCATTTTAGGTAGATGTTATCATGCTGCTTTATGTACAAGTGGTTGTTTTTCTGTTAAGTTTGTTTTTATTAAGCTATTTGATTACATATATAGGAGTGTATTTCAAATGACTGAAAGCTTTGATTAATGGCTTGATACCACTGCCACATGGTCACTACTGCACAGAATCTGGCTGCAAAATGTGTCACAAAAGCAAGATGGCCGCCACCGTATTGACAATATTTTGGCTTCACTTTTGTATTATGGTGGCAGGAAGTGGTGACACATCACCCTATTTATAGAGTTTATGCTCTGAACCCAATTTATGATCAGAGCTGTCGAGGTGAACAGTCGAACATGAAGTTTAGCCACTTTACATCCATCCATCGTGGGCGGGGCGCTGGAGCCAATCCCAAATGACATAGGGCGAGAGGTGGGGTACACCCTGGACAGGTTGCCAGTCTATCACAGGGCTGACACTTAGAGACAGGCAAC